TTTCCTGGGGCAACCGAGTAAACCCACTCCACTGCTGTGAGAAAACATTGCTCTCCAGGAGGAATTGAATCTACTAGATTCAGCATCTGTTAGAAGGAGGGAAAGCCGCGTAGGGCTGAGAAAGCTACTCTTTATGGACTAGGACCATTCCTGTATCCTCTCAAAGGAGCTCTTGGCTAGGTTACTGCCTGATAAGTCGGAAGTGTGGGGCTTAGATGTTCCCTTAACCACAACGATTTAAAGAACTTGAGGCCAATGGAAAATGCTGTGTCGATGCTGTGAAGCCCAAACCTTCTGAAAATAGTTTGCATCCATTTCCAGCCTCCCCAGGCAGCTGTTTGCTCTCACTCTGGCATGTTCTACATGTCTGTGTTCACAGGGAGAATGTCACTCTTCCTTCAGGCCTTCCTAGCTGCCTGCATGTTGGTGATTATAAAGCAGACCATTCCTGAAGAGACACTGTGTTTCTGGAAGAAGAGTCAGGGAGCAGCTCTTTGAGAATAAGGTTGTTTTTTTGGAGACGTTGTTTGTTTCAGGAAATACTGCAGCATCTTTCCAGTCTCAGGAAAGAAAAAGAAAACTGTTGTGACTTAGATCTTGGCTCCGGTGGTTTGGCTTTCCCTATCTAGCCGACACCACACTGATAAATACCACATCTGTCTTGACAAGCTAGTTCCCAAATAACTACTCATTCATAACTTTAAGCTGTTGTAAGAATCCTTATTTGTTACCTCATCCTGTGAACGAGAATTCAGAGTCTGGTTTTGAGAAAGAGATTCAATGACCACAAGCCCACTGTCTCTGCAAATCTACAAGGAGGCACTACCCAAAAGATACTACTGCATATTTTTTTTAGTGCATTTTAAGAGCACGAAGATACGTATTGCTGGAAAAAATATACATGAGAATTTGGGGGGAAATGTAATCTAATTTTTAAAGCTTGGGTTCCATTCAGTATTGGTAATCCAATGCTTGTTAGACCAGATTCATCAGAGATTAATCTCTCTATACCAGACTCCTATTTGGAGCTCTGATTCTGATTCGATCATATATTTCCCATTCCACTGGCTTAGTCTTGTTTTCACTTCTGCTTTGACATCTTAATGACAATACCAAGTAGCTAGTTGTTTCTTGTTGCTTTATAATAAATTCTTAGAATTAAGTTGTTGGCTGAGACAGTCCAAAAAATGAAAAACAAACGAAAGTGGATGACTTATTCTGATTCTACTTTAGAAGGAGACAGATGCCCCCACAGTCTGAGGACCCTTTGATGCAGAAGATGAGTTATTTGGTAAAAGAACCACCCCCTCAGAGGTCTGTCAGGGCATTCGGTGGAGAACTGTTTCCACATCCAAGCTCATACCTTGGCATCTTGGGCTTGGAAGTCAAGGAGAGAGAAGCAGGTAGGAGCGTGCCAGAGCTCCTGGCTTTTCCCCAGAAGTTGCTGGGCAGAACCGAAGCTGAATCATGGCCATCTTCTCAGGTTCTGGAGCATCTGTTCTCACCTTTAAATATGTATCAAAAAAATCATGTTGACTTGAATAGTAATTTAGTTATTCATTTGTATTTCCTCATAGTACCAAGCCTTAGACTGTTAAGCATATGAACCAAAATCCTGTATCAGATCCATGAACTAAATCCTGAACTGCCACTTCTCCACCTACTAAACTTGTGCTTTTCTCTTCCATAGAATGAGGTAACGGGTGCCAGTTTGCCTTGGAAAGAGATATAGTTAAGAAGGATCCCACTGTCAGAAAATATCACCATCAATCATGAAGCTATGTGTGTAGAGTCATGTCTCATTTCATTAATTCTTTGGCACTGGCATGTGGATTCTAGAAAGAGGGTCTGGAGCCAGACTGACCTCAAGTCATTATACATCTGGTATCAGTAGTTCACCATCTCTCAGTAACAGTTGCTGGGGATTCTCTAAGTACAGTAGAAACTCATAGTGTATAATGTTGGGAGGATATGAAGGCACCGACTTAGGGAATTGCTTTAGGCCTGAGAGAGATGTTTCTCCAAAGGGTTTGGGAAGGATGGAGACAGGGGCTAATTTGACATGGAGTTTCCTTGGACATTTTTAATGACATTTCATTCTGCTCAAGATACCATTGCAGCAAGAATGGCTCTATCTTTAGCTTATAAACATGTTCATACTACATAAAACCGCTCCTTACTCAGAACAAATACCTTTTGAGGGGAAAGTTTATTCTTGATCTACCTGCTTGGATTGTTTGGAGGTCAAATGAGATTTTCATACAAGGGCTTTGTAACCTGTAAGTCACAAAGGTCTGGACCAGTGGGTCTCAAGTTTTACCAGGCAGAAGGATCACCTGTATCAGGTGTAGTGCTCATTATAAAGGGAGAGTCTCAAACTTTTGTACCCCTACTCTCCACCCAGATTTAGTTTCAGTAGTTTTAAGGTGAGCTCCAGAACCCTGCATCTTGTAACAAAAACAGGTGGTTCTTGGGCAGGTAGTTCAAAACACCTTCTAGAAACACTGTGCATTTTTGTTTTATTTTGTTGCTTTTTTTCTTATAAGTCATCCCAGGCAGAAAGAACCCCAGAAGTTTTCTAGTTAACCCATGCAGATTCTTAATGCCAGGTCTGTCTCTGTTATCTGCCTTAAGTGAGTGATGGCCCTCCATAATCAATCAGTGAGTGCCCAAGTACTTCTAAAAAATAATTATTTCTTTAGGTCTGTTAATGTGTCAGATTTGCATAGGGTTTCACATTTTGTAAAGCATTTCACCCAAAGCCTCAATGATCAAAAAAACTGCATCCATACCATAGGGCCACTTCAAAAAAAAGTTTGAAAACTGATTTTTTAAGACTTAAGAATTGCTTTCTTTGGCCTAACTAATCACTGTTAGCAGCACTTATATTTTCATGTAAATAATGCATGGTCTTCTGAGTAAATTGATCAACACCATCGGGCTGTCTTTTGGCCCCACTTAAACACAAGCGACAGGAAAGGAAAGAAAGGATTGTAACATTGCAGCTTTACAGCAGAGTAAAAGTAAACCAAAGGTGCCTACTTGAGGACCACTTGCTGGAAATTGCAAATGACAGTAGGTAATCTTCCTCATTCCCGCAGACTTCCTTTGAGCTGAGTGACCTGGGGCGGTTTCAAGGGATCTGCACCCCATTAGGGGAATTGTCCCTCTTTTGCACCACAACACCCACTGGCCTGAAGAAGGTGCTGTTTCCCAGGAAAAGGAGTTAAATCCCCCCAAGAAATGCATAGGGCCATAGTTTAAAGAAAAAGTATTGCTAGCCAAGCGACTTCCTCTGCATATTCAGCCTTTCTCTGGTTATATTCTTTGAGATTTTTATTTAAGATAACTTTCAGCATCTCTTTGTCGAGGTCAGATACGAATGAGAAGGATTTGTTTGACTTGCTAATCTTGTGACAGATTATGCCCAGCATAGCTTCCTGTCTTTGCTGCCTGGTTATTTGGAGGAATTTTCTCCCCGTAAGACTGGAGAGGCTCTAAAAATAAACAACATGGTTGCTTATTGGTGAGAACATATGTGAACAGATGTCAGCTGGTCACAGCATATGGTGGCAACATGATAGCAGCATGTTGCAGAAACCTGGGTGCTGGGCTGTATCTTCCATGCCATGTAAGCCATCCAGAGTCCCAGGTCTCAAATAAAGCGGGTTCTGACTGGAAGGTGTAATGCACGCAAGTGTGAAAATAAGTCACTGGGATCTTGTTAATGGGCTGAATGGAGAGTAGAGACGGTAAGTTACAGGGTGTGGAACAAGTCTTCCTTATCCATTTTAAAACTGGGAGTTAGAAGGCACAAATACAGCCCCCCAAAAAAAGAGAGAAGAATCCACAAGGCCTTTGTCTTTTGTCAAAAGAAGTTTTCAAGTCAGGTCTCAATAGGACCAGGGCTGCTTCTAGAAGACATGCCCTGGGTGAGTGGAAGGTTCAGCGATTTTAAATCTGTTTAAGGAGCTAGGAAAGAAGTATATTAATGTCAGGGCTAGAAGGCAGTCAGGGATTCATCTATCAAATAAGTTAGATAACGAATATTAGTACATCTCTTGATCACCTTTTATTTGTCAGTGTCTACTAAATGTATCATCTCATTTCAGTTTTGGAAAAGCCCTCAGGGATAACATGTCTGCTTCATCTTACAGAAACAGGCTTGGAAAAATCAAGGGACTTGCCCAAAGATTCACGGGAAATCAGTGACAGAGCAGGGGTTTCAATCTACCTCTTAAGCAAAAATCCTCCAAGTATCATTGACTCTGCTGCAGATAGTGTAGTCTCTGAACACTGAGCAATGTTTTCTTTTCAGTTGGAGGTATTTTGGGGTTTGTTTTGTCTTACAAGAATATGGTAAGCAATGTGCAAGATCTCGTTGCTGTTACTTTAAAGAAATAGAAGTTCAAAATTCCCAGGTGTAATAATCACGGAAGATACGTTCAACCCATTTCAAGGAGCCCTAGATTTTTAACCTAGAGCTAAGCAGCCTCCAACCAATATACACCTGTATTTTTGACTCACTCAAGAGGGAGTTTTCATGCACAGGTTAGAACTGATGACAGGTGGTTTTAAGAAAACTGAATCTAGGCCAACCAAATAAAAAACTGAGTTTTATTCTTAATAAGGAGATAGGCTGTCTTTTATCACAGGAGGTCAAGGCCTTTCTTATGTATCTATAATGTAAGTAAAGATATTTATTTCAGTGTATAAATTGTACATTGTTTAATACTAGAGCATGTTAAAGGGAAAACTGAATTCAGGAATCTGATTGCCAATTAAGGGATGCCAAAAAATCTGGGACTAGAATCCAGAATCTTTCATAGATCCTATGTGTCTGATCCCTTGCCCCTGAGTAGTAGGGACCTTATATAGATTTCTGGGGGGATGATTAATACATTCAGGATGTCCCCCTTCTACTTTGAATCTTTGTATAGCTCTGTGCAAGGCATCTCCTCAGTAAAATAGCTAATGACTGTACTTTTTAAAACTCCTAGCTGTCTGCCCAGTTGTTACAACACCCTCTGGCTCAGTGGGCAGCTTGTGCTCCAGACAGTCCCAGGTGCTCTGTGGGTACCTTGGTGAGTACACTTGTCTGCTTTATACCTCGTTTGACGTAGTGTCCCTCTTTAGTGTTTGTCTGCTGGGGGGATCTTGTCAGAGGCCAAAGAGAATTCTGAAATGCAACCTTGTAGCTGGACAGTCACAGAAGCATCCCCAAGTGTTTAGTCAGAGTTTATATGAGAAAAACTCGTGAATAGTTTTTGAAGTAATATGATGACTTGATTGCAATATGTGAAAGAAGGGACTGTGGGTATATGAGATATGTGTTCTGGGGTTACAAAGCAATTTGAAATATTGATCTCCTAGCCCCCTCCATGCGCTCTGGAGGATTGAACAGTATGGCCAGAATGTCAAGGGTCCTCTTCTTGTGTTTTATTTGTATTTATGTTCTTACTGATGGTACACTGTAGTTGCTCAATTAACTGTTCTTGTACTGAACTGAAGGGGATGGAGATTTTTTTCTTCTTTGAAGTTCTTAGGGGAGGCCTGTGAGAGAGCTATGCCAATGCCATTATTTGTGACCTTCATATTTGTCATTTTTGGGTTGCATGAGAAAATGGACTGTCATGGGCAAGCCTTCTGCTGACTGGACCTGAGAGCTTGCTGCGTGCTCAGATTAAGCGCAAACTCCTCAGATCCAGTGCCATGTGTTAGGATGGGGCACACTGAAACCAGAGGTCTCGCTCCTTTCTGAGTGGAACATTGGTCAACTCAGCCAGCTTTTATTGAGTGCCTACTGTATGGTGGGCAATGAGAGCACAGCAAACTATAGGACTTAGCAGGTCCTGACACTCAGTGGCCCACATTATCCTGGATCCTTGCTCCAGAAGAGAGGGAATGGACTCCCAGCCCTGGCAATGGTTCACTCTGCATTTTTTGAGGCCCTATAGAGGTTTGGATTACATTGACTCTAAAGATGGGCAAAAGTCCTGGATAGGGTCAAGGGAAATGCTTCTATTACCTAGATGTGTGATTCACTGGTATATCCTATCTGCAATTTATCATACCTCACTTTGCTTCTTCGGAATCAAGGTATCAAGGAATAAAATAGTTATTTGCAGGGACCTGAGATGGGTTTCCTCAAAAAGAACTTATTCTATTGAGAATATACATTTATGTTAGTTCTGAATGCTTTGGAGTAGCTAGAAGCTGCTTTGTGAATAAAAAGTGTGAAAGGTTTAATTCATGTTGTTGAAGTTCCCTTTTGTGAGACAGATTATATTTTGTTTTCTGTCTCTCAGGGTGTATTTTGTCTCACTACCTAGAAATTGAGAGTTGTCTGATTTTTCCTCCACTAGCTTCTTGGAAAAGCAAAGGGAAGGAGGGTGAGAGAAGGAGAACATTTGTTGGGCACCCGCTGCATCCCTGGTGCTTAGCACACCCCATCCTGCCCCTCCCCATGCTGGTTAGTTGGAAACAGCCCGGAGGAGGGTCGCCGTTTTGCAGAAACTGGCTTGGAGAGGCAGACACACCGTCCTGGGTCACAGTCGGGCCTGGCCTCGCTGCTGTCCGCCACACCACAGAGGCCCGGACATCTTTGCCTTCCTTTTGTTTTCCCTTTGGAAACCTGGCTCCATCATTTGATAATTTCCTTACCTACTATTTGGATTGCCATAGTCCAAATTGCCATTTTCCTCCCACAGTCAAAAAGTCGGGAGGCCTACCCTGGTTCTTTGCATGGTTTTCCTTCTCAGACACTCCTTCTTAGTTGGGGTTATTTTCGATCATTGAAGTGCTGCAAGCTTCCCTCTGTCTTTGGTGAAAAAACACTGGAAAGCCACCCTGCTCCTCAGCGAGTCTGGGAAAATCAGGAGTGTCTCCGAGGGTGTGGAGGGGAGACAGGGCCCAAGCTCCACCTAGATTCCGGTCCGGTGCGAGGTTCTTGCTCTCCACCCGGCTTCCAGGCCTGTGGGAAAACCCTGCAGACCCCTTTCAGACCTTCCATGCAAGACTGCTGAGCAATGGGGCTCAGAATTTTTTTTTTTTGTCTCTGTTCTTAGAAATCGTAATTGGGTAAAAATGTAAGTGAGCGGATGCCAGGGGGCAAGTGTCCAGGGTCAGGGTGAATTTCTCCATGCTGAGTGTGATTCTGAACACTCGTTAAGTAGAGGCGGGCCTGTGCCAAGCGGCTCGAAGGCCATTCCTGTCACCTTGTGTGAACCGCCTCTCCATTCCAAGGAGAACTGGGAGCGGCTGGACGGAGCCCGGGGCCCATGGCGCCTCTTGCTTTTCTCACTCTAACCTGGGTGTAGCTGATGACTACGTGTTCTGACACTGATGACTGGACTGGCAGCTCTGATACTTCATTAGCTTTAAATAAAATCCCCTGGACGATGAAATAGTCCTTGCCCCTCACAGCCCATGTGGCTGGCTGGATCATGTTTCTATTTTTTTTTTTATTCCTTTTCCCCCCAAATATTGGTTTAGATGAAGTTTTTTTAGATGCCTGCCTCTAAATAACTTTCTCTAATAAAATAGAAGAATCCAGATGGTAAGCAATAGAGAGTCTCTCTGTGAATGAATGGTTTAAAATGGATTCATGAAGATCAATTCAGTTTTGTGTTTTAAGTATTTACTGAGCAAGAACCTTTTAAGCAGTTTGACTGAGAGTTAAAGGTGGCGTTGCTCACAGTGTGGCCTGCATCTGTAGCTCCCAGTGTCCTGTGACGCAGATACCCTGGCCCCGTCTCAGACCCACAGGGCTGGGATCGCTGGCGCAGGTGAGCTGGGGAGGCTGCACTTTGAGGTAGGTGCTGGGGGTGAGTCCGACCTCACTAGAGATTACGGCCGCCCGAGGCAGCGGCTGCTCTGAGGAGGCAGGTCTGTGTGCACACAGGCCTCCAGCACAAAGAAGAAGCCCCATCCAGCAAGGCTGCTGTTTGATCCGCCGGTCCTGCAGCTGAGGTTTCACCCGGGGCTTCCCGAGTCCGTTCAGATATGAAGGTAGACCTGTTGTGGATAGTGTCACACATATCCCCTGCTCACTTTTCACCACAGTGGGGAAATGAGTGTTCAATGAAGTATATTACTCACATGGGGACATGGAGACTTCATTGGGAAGTTGTGATAGGAGAGAATTCAACTGGTAACTGTGGACGGAAGGGGATTTCCAAAGCTAATGGAGCACGTATAAGTGGCATGTATGATGTCTAAGTCAGTGTGTGATGTTTAATTCCCTGAGGTCATATTTGGTCAAAGCACCTCTGACCTCCTTAGGGCCTGAATGACATTCTGAGACACGGGGTAAGGATCTAGCCACCAGTGGAATGTAACTCCACTATTTCAGCCAAATCAGCTTCAGGTAGCTCTAGTTTTTTCTTTCCAAAGAGTGTTTTTCTCAACCAGAGGTATTAGAGCAGGTGAAAATCTGACCCAGCTATTACAAAGGAAAGTTAATGATAACTTACTCGGTATTTTCTTTGTGTAACCCCAGACCTCCTATTATTCCAGTACTGTTCTGGAGCCATTCAGTATTCTGAACTCGGCCATACAGTTGGATATTCTCTAACTACTGTACTGTTTTTGGCCTTCAAACTATTTAGAGAAATAATCCAGTTCTCCTGCCTGTCCTGCATCATGGATCAGCCCACATGGCTGTTGAAGTATGAAAAGAATGACTGATAGCATTAATTCCACTTCCCAACATGCCTTTAATTAAAAGATCTCTGCATGAATTACAACTATACATATAGTTTTAAGATAAATGTCAAATGCATGAAGAGATTGTGGGAAGACAAAGGTAACGATAGGACATTCTTACAATATATTTACTCATTTAACAGTATTTATTGAGTGTCTGCTTTGTGTTAGGCACCATTCTAGGCACTAGCAATACCATCTGTAAATAAAAGAGCAAAAACTTTGCCCTTGGGGAGCTTCACATTTGGGAGGAAGAAGACAGACCATTCATTTAAAAGACTAAATCTGAATGGTAGAACTTGATTAAGTGTTTGGGGAGAGAAGTAGAGCAGGGCTGGGGGATAAGGATAGAGGGGCAGATTGCAATTTTAAATGAGCTGGGCCTGGAAAGGCTCATTAAGACGGTGACATCTATGCAGAGGCTTGAAGAAGGCCAGGGAATAGCCCTGGGCTCCGGGAAGAGCATTTCTGGCAGAGACAACAGCTGGTGCTGTTCCTGACACGTTCAAGGATTATCCACGTGTCCTAGGAGATGAGATTAGCGAGATAATGACAGACAGGTCATGTGGGGTCTTGTAGGCCATTGTAAAGTCTCTGGCTTTTCATCTGAACAAAACGGGGGAAAAGGTGGTTTCAGCCAAGGGGTTCCTGTGGCTCTTAAGTCGAGAACAGTGCACAGTGACCAACTAGGAGTGCCAAGTCCAGCGTGGAGGTCTTTCTAATGCCCTGGGATGGAGTTTTGCCGCAGCATTTCTAGGTGAAACCGCGGTATACCAAGAATTTCAAACAGACTCTGTGCTGAGTTCCTTCTTTGGCAAATAATTTGATAGGCAGGCTATAGCAGGGACTGGATGTAGAATATGCTTTTTCGCTTTTTAAAAAATTATTTTTGGTTAATACTCTCGAGTTACTGGCAACCCACCCTCTTCCTTTCTGGAAAGAAGCTAAGTTTGCACCCTTCTGTGTATGAAAATAGCCTCTTGGGTCCCCCATCTTGTGTTGACAAGTGTGGAATGGCAGCTGCTGGAGTCTGTACTTGCTGTAATGCCTAGTCACAGCCATCAGTCCAGCGGCCAGGGACACATGGCCCGGAACTTACTGGGGACCGTGTGCTGGCCTCGGTGAATGGCACATTACCTGTCCCTGTGTGAAATCGGGCTTAGAAAGGTCTTTGCCTCTCTCCATCTATGCCCAGTGCCTTTGCCTAACTTTGAAATGAGGTCATAAGCCAGGGAATTTATAAAACTATGTCTCTTATCAGTCAAAAAACATTTCTGTTGGACCAGAGTTTGCTTTCTCATTGTTAAGTTTTGAACACCAAGATTTTACACTGGGATGCTGGTGTTATTCCTTCATCCATCTATTCAAGAAATGCCTA